TGTGTGTGTGTGTGTGTGTGTGTGTGTGTGTGTGTGTGTGTGTGTGTGTGTGTGTGTGTGTGTGTGAGCGAGTCGCAACTTGTAACAATAACTTCCTAATTACAGTTCCCCAGTGTTTGTGCAATCTTCCTGAAATGCTAACTAGCCCCCTACAGGGACCGTGGTACATTATTAATCCATGTGCTTGCTTGAGCGTCCTCGGCTGGAAAGTGTGCATCTGCAAACACACACACACACGCACGCACGCACTTCTGAGCACACACGTCAATTTGCATGTACTCACACATCCTTTCTTATAAGTGCTGCACTGACATACAGTATGTATGTCAGCAGTTAATGTGGGTAAATTTCTGCTGTCACTGCTCTGAATAGTGGGTCGTGTGTCAAATATGCAAACATAGTTAGTCCCAGTTTGTAAAAAAATGTGCCAGATTTTTTATTTATTTATTTATTTATTTATTTATTTATTTATTTATTTATTTATTTATTTATTTGGAAGGTTACAAACAGGTCACCTCCGAATAACAAATGCTCCGTGTCCAAGGAGTAATTTCTAAAGAATAATCTTGTTTGGTGATGACAGTTTAACATGTCCTGTTGGAGTATTCAGTAGAATGAAGAGTGCTGCTCATTTGTCAGTTTTGTCTCTAAATCCCCCGTATCACCTCAGTTTTTCACACATTTYKAGATGTATTTATTTTTTATTTWTTTGCAAATTTTTGACACTCTTATCACAACTCTGTCTCATTAAGACATGTTTGTTTGTTGGAAGAAGTGTGACATTAAATTATTTTGTTTTCTCGGCTTTTCACATTCATTTACCAAGCGAATTCCATTGCGCTCACAGATCTTTTTTGCAAGGAGCCCGAGGGCGGCCTCACATGCATAGCTTTGATCGGTGGGAGAAAACCCACACGAGCGCGAGGAGAACTCCACACAGAATGAGCCCTGGTCTGATTGAAGCCAAGCCCTCCTTGCTGCTAACCACTAAGCCAAATAACCAAATGTCAGATTACGCCTAAGAAACTGTGACGTGTTTACATATTCTGATGCTAATTCAGAGACAAAACWGTTTTGTTCTTAAATAACAGTGATTTTCTTTTCCAGCGGTTTTACTGAAGAGAACCTCTCCAGACACAGCCAGCAGAGAGGTGTCAKGTTAACTTTGCATGCAGATTAGTTTCCACACTGTGGGGGCATCGCCTCTCAGGAAAAATCAACATTATGACACGAGACACTGCACTCCAACATGCTTAATATGGGGGAGCAAGTTTCTGTTGAAACAGGGATGGCTTTTACAAATATCAGCTGAAGTGCGAGGGCTGATTCTGAAATTTAGCCTGGGATTTCAGCAGATATGAGCTTTTTGAGCCTGGCAGCCAAAGGGATGAAAACAGTGCAGTAAATGRATGAGAGAGTGAGGCGGGATCTCCTGTGGTCCACGGGGAGTGCTTCTTCAGTATTCCTGAAGATCTTGCCCCACAGTGATGCCTACAGGCACTAGGCTTGTACCACGGGCCGATAGCTTTCTCTCGAGGCTACAGTCAGTGATGGATCAGAAGCTAAGAAAGGAAAAAGTCCTTCAACTGTTTGGGTGAAGGTTGAGAGCAGAACTGGAGCACGATGATGAGACGAACGCCGACGTTAAGCCCATCACCTCTCATCYGCTTGAAGACACGCTCGACAATTCCCCCTTCGCTAAAAGTTGTCACTTTTCATTACCGCTGATTCTCTTAATGTTTCCACCTGCCTTATTACAGATGTAACTATCAGAGTCCCACCGCCGCTGACACTTCTGCTGCCGCAGCACAAGAGGGGCAAAAAAATTTTTAAAAAGCTCTCACTGTGTGGCTGCTGCCTGAGAGATGTTTCACAGCTTTATCAAGCAAGACTTTTACTGCTCACCAATCAGAAGATTTAAGAATCTCCCTCCTTTTCTTTTCCTTCTTTTTCCAAGCCCTATCAGGAGTGCTACAACTTGTGTGCCTGCCGCAGCAAGCACTGCAGTACTAATGCAGGATGAAAGCAAGATGAGCAACCTCAAAGATTGTTATCAATGAATTCCCAGGACTTCACTGTGACAGAGGATGTCTGGCCCCCGAAACAAACCAGTCAATCATTTTTTCTCTCTCTCTCTCCCCAAAGCATAACATCTTAAAAATGAGACACTGAAACTGTTGTACCGTGACCGCATCACGTCTATTTGCGGCGATAAGAGCTCAGCCCTGTTTCCCATCTTCCCTTCAACCTATCTGCCTTCTTACTTCCATCCTTCCGTCTCTCCATCTGTGGCACTCGGCCAACAATCGGAGTCAGTCAGTGGAAAAACTCTGTTAGTAGTCCATGCCCTGTGGGACAAAGTGGCAACAACATCCGTTACAACAGATCGTAGGGAGGCCAAAAATTTAACTGGCTGAGTGGCTTTGTGTCTCACACATGCAGCCAGACTGAATGAAGTTTGGTTGTTTGTGTCGGAGTCGTGATCTGGTTTCATGAAGTTTATTTGTGGGGGATATAACTTGGCTGTAATTTTTTATTGTTATTAATATTACTAAAGTAGCCGTTCATTTAATGTTTCCACTATTGGTGTTTCCATGAAAAGATGCCAACACATCTAGTAATTCTGAAGGCCACAACAAATTGAATTCATGCTCCCACCCGCCCTCTTCTCCTCTCATTTACTTTATTTTCAATTAAAAGTGCACTACAGAGGGTTTAATGTTGTCATGACATTTCAAGGAGCAGTCTTGAAAAAAATAAAACTTTAATAACATCTTCAGGGGCTCTGGGGGTAGATTTAAAACGACTGAGGTGAGGAGCTGCTTCAGTTTTATTCCCCTTTTTATTATCATGAGCACTGATGGAAATGTGGCTCCAGGCCAAATGCATTGTTCTTAGATTTTTAACCAGATACTTTATAAATTAGGTGTAAGCAATGAACTGGAGCTTTCTGTGCTGCTGTCCATGGTCCTGAACAGTCAGCCCTGCAGCCCGCCCGTCCCGGGACAAGGATCACACCAAATGATGAGCCTCTTTATTTAAGCATGTGGCACATGGCTAATGCATTAATTAAAACCTGGAAAAAAAACGGGTTCAGGCTTGAACCTATCAGCCAACAACACACGTTCAATCTGGATCTATGCGCACCCGCGTTATCAAGGTTCTCACGCGCTCCTGGTGATAAAACCACACAGCTCAAGCTTTTCTTTTCCAGCCAATTCCCCCCTCCATTCCATGTAGCTCCTCTCCGTTGTGCCGTGCACGCACGCACGCACACACACACACACAGACGCGCGCGCAGAATGCGCGAAACCACAGGGAAATAAAGTGATTTCAGAACCGCAGGAATGCCTGATGCTGCTTTGCATCTCCCAAAGTTGCCTGCGCCATAYGAGTCCAGCCCCTCACAGGGCAGCAGCATGGACCGAAACCAAAGCTTTGTATATGTGTGTGTGTGTGCGTGGGTAATCTACAGATGTTTGCTCGAGGATCGGACTTTACCTGCTCCAGATGCTCAGGAAGACGCGGSTCCTGAACGCACGGTGCCTCCGGCAGGTTCTGTTTTTGCGATGGGAGTCAATTTTCTCTCTCTCGTCCTCTCTCTGTCCGCCTCTGGTTTGTCCCCAGCTCCTGTCTCCTCTCAGAGAAGAGCTGTGGCCATGGCGTGGCTCTTGATGTGACCCCCCCGCGTCAGCATTCTTTTTATTTATTTATGATTTTTAGGAAAGGGGGGAGGGAGGTGGGGGATGCAAAACGGCGTCTGATGTGATGTTCTGCCGCCTCACCGCTGCTTCTCACTGCGTCAGGCTCCGCTTCCCCTCCTCCCTGCTCTCTCTCTCTCTCTCTCTCTCTCTCTCTCTCTCTCTCTCTCTCTCTCTCTCTC